CATTTCAGGAAAGATGTGGACAAATTGGTGAAAGTCCAGAGAAGAGCAACAAAAACGATCGAAGGTCTAGAAAACATGAGCTATGAGGGAAGATTGAAAAACTTGGGTTTGTTTAGTCTGGAGAAGAGAAGACTGAGAGGGGACATAACAGTTTTCAAGTACATAAAAGGTTGTTACAAGGAGGAGGGAGAAAAATTGTTCCTGTTAACCTCTGAGGATAGGAAAGAAGCAATGGGCTTAAATTGCAGCAAGGTTGGACATTAGGAAAAACGTCCTGTCAGGGTGGATAAGCACTGGAATAAATTGCCTAGGGAGGTGGTGGAATCTCCAGCATTGGAGATCTTTAAGAGCAGGTTGGACAAACACCTGTCAGGGATGGGCTAGACAGTATTTGGTCCTCCCATGAGTGCAGGGGGCTGAACTAGCCGACCTCTCGAGGTCCCTCCCAGCCCTGTGATGCTGTTACCGTTTGAATGCTGGCGGAGGGTAAATGCGTGCTGGGTGCCAGTTGGCAGGGCTGCGTGTTTGTGCCCGGGGGAGGAGTGCACCCACAGAAATCTCCCTGAGGCTTCAGAGCTGGCTGGGATGAGGCAGCACCAGGACGCTCGTGAACTATGCACCAAGTGAATTCCCCGAGGAAAAGAGCCCAATGCCCAGCACACACCAACTAAGGGACAGGCATGTTTGCTGACTGCTAGCAAATGCTCTAAATACAGCCGAGGCGGAGGCATGGCTGGCTCAGTGCAGTGGGATTAGGGGCCTTTCCCGTCTAGGCTACTCGGCTGGGTCTGGCCCAGTTGGCAGGGACGGAGAGCTGCTCCCATCTGTCTGCCATGCTCAGTGCAGCTCCCCTCGGCCGTTCCCTGTCCCATAGGCTCTGATTGGCCGTGGATTGAACCTCACGTCGCCCCTGGTCCCGAGGCTGTTCCTTCCAGGCCGGGCGAGGTGTGCTAGCAGGGTGAATGGTCTACGGGCAGCTTGCACGACAGCTGCCTGGGCTGGCCTTGCTCCATGGGTGGAGAGGGCTTTGGGCTCCAGCGCTTGCATCACACACGCACACACACGCTCCCGTCTCTCAGCCGGAGTACCCCCTTGGGGAGGGCAAGTGCCCATCATCGGCCAGGATCGCTGAGTCTCGAGGTGCCCACTGGCTGGGGGAGGTCTCGCTAAAAGGGCTGGATCGGGCGCTTTCTACAGCATCGTCTCTCCAGCCCAGGACAGAGCTGCGGCCTCTTAGGCTGGGGCAGCTCTGGTCAGAGACCTCCCCACTCCGACCGCTTTGCCGCCGTATGAGGACCTGACTGTGCGCTTGTCTGGGCTGTGTGTGTGAACGGGCCCCTTCTCCAGGCTGGGCACGCCTAGACCAGAAGTGGCTCGCCGTGGGCTGGGAGATGCCTCGTGCTTTGGAGCTCTGGGGCGGGGGTGTTTCATCAACTGCTGCTCTTCGCAGCCGTGGGAGGGGGCTGCGGATTTTCCCAGTGCTGAGTGCGAGCTGGTCACCGCTGGAGCCCAGCGGATGGTGGTGAGCAGCCCCCCGCCGGCATTGGCCCTTTCTAGGGAGCCTGCAAACCAAGGACCTCGGGCGCCTTCGCTTTGCTCTCGCGTCCCGAGCCGTGGTACTGTGCAGCCTGCATGGAGCGTGCACTGACTCTGGCGTCTCTCCCTTGCTTAGTCCCTGCTGTTCCTGGGCCTGGTGGCTGCCGTCTGCCTCGGCCTCAACCTGCTCTTCCTCACCATCTACCTGATCTGCCTGTGCAGCTGCAAACGAGATGAGGAGTCCGAGACCAAGCGGCCCAACTCCTGCTGTGTCACCTGGACGGCTGTGGTGGCTGGCCTCATCTGCTGGTGAGTGTCCCGTGTGACTGCTGCCTTCGGAGCCCAGCTGCCAGGGCTGGGGGAGACCTCGCAGCCGCTGGCCACAGGAAGCATGGCCCAGTGGTAAGGCTGGGACTCCTAGGTTCTATTCCGGGCTCTGCTACTGACTTGCTGTGTGCCCTTGGGTTAGTCCCCCACCTATCGAGGAGGGGCAAACACCACTTCCCGGGGGAATACGGCTGAGGTCCTGGCAGGAAAGGCAGGGGACCAGGCCAAGTGGACAGGCGCCAGGCAGAGGTTCCTGGCCGTTCTCAGCATCGCTCGGTGGGAAGGAATTTCTAGTGGGACACCTGATGAAAAAGAGGCACGTCACTGAGCGCTTCGCGAGCAGTTGATATTCACAACCCGCCCAGGTGCCGGGGTGATGGGCGGAACACAGACTGTCTTGCAGCCGGGGAGGCGGCTGCCCGGAGAGGGGAAGGAGCGTGCCTGTGTGAGCCAGCCCAGCTCCCTTCAGAGCGGGTCTCGGGGCGGCTAGCCCCCAAGCCCGAGTCGCTGGCGGAGGGGGAAGAGGCAGGCGGCTTTTTTTCCCCGTCATCCCTGTTGCGTGCCCAGGATTCTCCTCTTCTCCCCGCTGAGCTGCCTTCCGACCCAGGCTTCGTCTCCCGCCCGGCGCTGGATTTGTGGGCCAGCCGCGCACGTGAATCGCTTTGATTAGATCCAGCTCTCAGAGGCTTAAATACCGATGGCTCCTCTCTGGGCGTAGGCTCCTCGGTCTGGGGCTGAAGGCGGAGGCTGCACCTCCCCTCCCTGCTGTAGCTGGTGGCTCTGGGCCCCGTGTGCATGCGGCCTCCTGGAAGTGCTGGCTAATCCCGGGGGGCAGCGGGGAGTTGGGGTCACTAATCCCAGTCCTGGAGCAGATGGCAGCCTGCAGCCTGACACAGCTGGCAGCCTTTGGTCACATGAGGTGCAGGGTTAATTACAGATGGAGGCTGGGTCAGTTAGAAATGGGGGGGCAGGGAGTGGGCCCCGGAGGGATCCCAGGCGGCTGGGAGAGGCTCTGCTGTCCTGCTGGGGGTAGTGCCATTCTGGGGTGCTGGCAGAGAACATCCCTGTGACTGGCATGGCCTGGCGCGACTGGCCTCGGCTTGGCACGGCAGGCCTGAGGGGCCAGGAGTGGCACGGCTCTGAGGCCAGGGCAGCAGTGAGTGACGGGGGGGCTCTAGGGGAGTTAGTGGCTCATCCGGTTCTGGGTCCGTGTCTGTATCTAAATCTTCCTGGGGCAGGGAGAGGCCCAGGCGCTCCCGCAGCCGCTGCTCTGCCCTGCATGGCGCCGTCTCAGCTCTGCGGCGCTAACCCGCTGGGCACTTCTGCTCCAATCTGCCGCTTGGCTCTCTTGCGGTGGGCGGGCAGCTGATGCCCGTCTCCTGCTGCCTGGTAGTTGCATGTCCTCACCGGAGGCATTTTTAAGCCCTCCCCCGGTTTCAGAAGCTTGTAAGAAAATTTGCCAGCAGCCCAGGCTGGTCGAGACAAAATCCGGACGGTTCGTCAGCCCGTCCTCGCCCTACCACGCAGGTAGTGTCCTTGGGGCTAGGTCTGCTCTGTTGCTCTCTGCTTTGCGTTGCTGGGATTCCCCTTCTCAGTGCATCCAGGCAGGGCTCCTGCCCCAGGCGGCGGCGTCTCCTGATTGCTTCGGCGTGATCCGCTCCCATGGGAAGGGAAGAAAGAGATGGTTCTTCCCTCCCATTAGACCAGACAGAGCGTTCAGTGTATGGCAATAGACACGCTCTAAAGAGGAAGCAAACGCTGCTGATTAGCTCAGCATGCCCTTCCCGTGACAGCCGGCTCCCCCCACTCCCTGGGCCCATTCCACCCCCGCTCCATGTGACTTCCAGGGACAGCTCGGCTCTGATTGCCAGCTGCTTGGAGAGGAATCAGCGTTTCCTCTTCTCCAATGACAAGCAAATGCTGCCCAACTTCCTCACTCCCCTGGGGCTTCCCAAGAGGCTCGCAAGTGCCACGGGCAGCAACTGTGCACCACTGAGAGCGCGTCTGGGCTCTGGCGTTGTAGATTAGGGTGAATGCGGTGTTTGTAGCTGGCATCCCCCCCCAGTAGCCATGCCAGTGGCCCCATGGCTCTGCGGGTGCTGCACCACCTGCCCTTGCAAAGTTCGGCTTCACCACAGCTGCCGAGCCCATGTGCCCAATCCCCTGCCGTTCTGGTGTCGGGCTACCCCGCAGCTGTGCCACTGGGCCCCAATCCCTTACCATGACCGCGCTGGGCCTCTGCCGAGCACAGAATACCCAGCTGCCCGGTAAGGACTAGGGCAGGACTCAGAGTCATTTCATTGGTGAGCAAAGGCAGATTTGAACGCAGCTCCCAGGGGCGTGTTAACCCTCTGTCGCCCCAGGGGAACACGGTGGGCCGGGTGGGGCTGTCGGAGCACTCCCTTTGCTAGGGTCCCCTGGCACTGCCCGGTGCCTGGAGAGCTCTCGTAGGTGGCGGTTGTGAGCCCCTCGCTCCTGGCGCGTTAGAAGTGCTGGGGGCGGCTGGCGCTGCTCCGGGCCGTGGGGGCCTGTGGAGTGCTGTGGCTTGGGGAGGAGACGGAGCTGGGGCTTTATAGCCCTCCAGAGGCGCCCAAACCCCCATCCATGGCTAAGTGGAGCCTCTTTGGAGCAGAGCGCAGCCATTACCAGGCTAATGGGGAGAGCTGGCTGCTGTCCAGCATGGTCGCTGACAGCCACACCTGGGAGTGCGGGAGCAGCGAGGGCCGGCTTTCCAGGAGCCGGGCCGAGCACTCCCCGCTCCTCCCTTCCAGGGCCCCCCCAGGCTCTCGGTCCCAGCAGCCCAGCCTGAGCCTAGCCTATGCGCAGAGGGCGCGGGAGCCGCTGGGCTTGGTGCTATCGGGGGCCCTGTCCTTGGTGTGCGTGCTCCCCAGCTGGGAGCAGTAGCAGCCCTTCGCCTTGCTCTGCGGGGTTCACCCCATGCGGCGGCCGGGCCCCTGCAAGACAGGTCTGTAGGCCACAATAATGCCCTGCGCTCCCTCTGGGAGGCCCTCAAAACCCTGTAACGACCCAGCGGAAACTCCCTTCGCCTTTCTGGGGCGGGCGAGGCCGAGGCGGGGCTTGAACCCAGCTCTCTGGCTGCCCGGTGCTGTGAGATAGCCCTGCCTTCCCGCTCAGGACCCTGGGGGAGGCATGATGGCTCTGTTAGGGGGCAGGGAGAAGCGTGCACATGATACAGTGGAGCACCTGGGACAAGAGCAAAGCCCGTAGACCCCTTCGTCCGCCCGGCTCGGCTCGGCGGTCGGCACTTAGACCGGGGTGGATGCGGAGGGGACGCTGCTGGGGGTATCTGTGAGGCAGGCAGCAGAGCTGATGTCACTGGAGCTTGAGCGGGTGCCTGTGGCATGGCTCCTGGGCTCTGCTCCGGGTCCCAGAGGCCAGCTGGCTCACAGGGCCGAGGAGGGGCTAGCGGGAGACCCAGCTTTCACTCCTTGTCCCCTCCTGGGGATTAACCAAGGAGCAGGTTTCATCCGAGGCAGCGTTTTCTTTTCTGACAGATTCTCGTAATCTGTTTGGCCAGGCTTTGCGGCCTAAATCTCGCAGCCTTCGCAGGGGCTGGCTTCAAATCCAGCCTGTGTGTCTGGCTTCGAGCTTTGCTAAGCCCCAGCGGGAGCAGAGAATCTCCTCTCACCCACCCGGAGGGGCACCGCTGCCTTCCCTGGGACCCAAATCGGGGCTGTTGGCACTTCCGCCTTGAAGCACCTGGATGCTCGTGCCCAGCTCGGTCTCGGGTATTTCTGTGGCTGCTGTGGCTGCAGTCTCTGAGCACCTCCAGTGGATTTATCCTCACAACACACTGGTGCAGACGGGAAACTGAGGCACGGAGACCTAGCGAGTCACCCAAGGCCGTGTAACAGGGAACTGAACCACTGGGCCGGGGTGCGCAGGACAGCGCTGGCAGTTCTGCAGGTGCCCGGTGTCTCCTACCCTGCTTCTGCCCGGCCTGTGTCTCGAATGGGGCCTGCTCCCTGTGCACAGGTGAGCAAGAGATCGCCTTCTGGTGGCTGGGGAAGGGCAGGAGAGAGGCAGGGGCAGGCGACGAGATCGTTGGCCGGGCAGCTCTGGGCTGCACTGAAAGCTATTGATGGCTTTGTATCGAGGATTGAGTTTGTTTCAAGCCTGGACCCCCTCCAGCCCTGCCCCGCTTTTCCATTCGTGTAAATGACGCCCCCGCCCCAGGAAGTCCCAGTGTGGGGTGAAGGGGAGCTCTGATGGGTGGGGATCTCCGTGAGCGGCGCTGCTGCGGGGCGTGGAGGACTCTGGTGACGGGCGACGCCCTCACTTCGCAGAGCAGGTACAGCCGGGGCAGCGATGGGGCAAACCTTCCCTCTCCCGCTCAGCGGCCTCTAGGGCCGAGGGCGATTCAGTCCTGATGTCTCTGAA